TATGGTCAGGGTTAGGCTATAAAGTCTAAAAAACATGAATGGAAGTCAATGGAAGGTCCCCACGGGGTTGAGAAACAAACGTGTGTGTGTGTGAGAGAGAGAGAGAGAGTGGGTGGGGGTGTGGGGGCACACATATGTACAAATCACTTTTTAGACATTTCTTGTTTATTGTTTAGAATTATTTTAATGTCTGCATTCTCTGACTCCTCTGCTAGATGCACTTAAACCATTCTTTAAAAAATGACAACAACCAAGAAAGGAAAGTTCTATCAATCACCCGTTGACTCATTCTATTTTTCTTGGTAGGTAAGTCTGTTTGTTTTAAGTACATTGGTTTGTCATGGCTCTTTACTGAAGTCAATAAAACTATAGGTTATTCTGTTTGATTTACTGATCTTTGTGGAAGTGAGGAGTGAGTGAGGAAGAAGCTCATAATCTTACGACCCACGGTTTAGCTGGGACTAGGAATGCAGCAATCTGTTTGATACCGAGACCACACAAGTAGATCTCAGCAAAGAAACGACTTCAAAAGAAAACCTTAGTTCAAACAGTGTGAGAACCTTTGACATAAACAACGAGCTGTGGTGCAATACGTGTCATGAAGTCTCCTCTTGCAGGGAAAAGTAAAGAGTCAGGCTATGCTGTAAAAAAATGAATGGATTAAGACGCAAATCTAGATAAGACCCTGAGGAAGACACTGAACATGCTGGAGGATTACATATTTACTCTGACCTTGTCGCAGGACAGAACTCCCCAAGGATGAGCTGGAGGATGTGAGCGGCAAGACAAGCATCAAGGCTGCCGTGCCCATCAAACTGTTGCTGGAACTTGTACTAGAAGGAGTGGCAGTGGATGCAGGGCAGTGTACTTAAAGGTGCTCGAGATTTCCCCGGCCTTCAGCGATGCAAATTTCCACAAAAACATTATTATGACAGAAGATACTCCAATACTTAAGTACCGCACATTTCTGAAAGTGATCATTTAGAATCTAATGACATGGACTTATTTCTTTATCAAACTAACATTTTCCACTATTTTGTTTGGTTAACTGCTTCAACTGGACTGAAGGAAAATTTATTGTTTATCGCTGATTTTTAATACACATACTCTTTTTTCCTAGAAAAACTAGGCTATGTTTTGATAACCTACTTGCGTAATTTCCTATTTTTATGATTAAACTGATTTAACGAAGTGCAATCTGCTTTGAGTGGCTTATGCCACGATCACCTCAAACAGAATGTGCTTTCCTCGATATGATTAGTTAATACACGCCTTTGCACCTACAACACTTAACTATTGTTCTCATCTAGCAATCGGAATTTCTGTAACAGAACCCAATCTCTCGGTGGGAAGTTCTGCCCTGGATCTGATACCGATGGATGGGCAGGGTTCAGAAGGAATGTGTTTCTATTGTGCACTGATTCACAATTCTTTACCAAAATCAGGGACAAGTCTGTATTTATTTCCTGGTTCTCGACTCGCACCAAAGTGACTTAACACATTCCCTTTCAGGACATTTGCAGACACACATCTACACCCTTATATTCTTTTATATTTTGTTTGCCATCCTGTTTTGTTCAAGTTTACTTTAGTCCCTTCATTTAACATATCTCCATCCTCTTTATTGCTTCAGTCTAAACTTTAGGTTGAAAACAGGCCAAGCTGCAGATCAGAGGAGAAGGAGGTGAAGATGAGATCCACAGGAACTTGCTGGAGTCTGCTGTTGGCTGGCCTGTTGACCAGCCAAGCTAATTTCACACTCCCCTGGCGTCTCTAACGCCTCCAGGGTTACCATTGGCGTAAACAGAAGGTCAGAGAGAAAAGGTGAAAGAAAGTTAAACATTACTAAAAGAAAATGGAACATATTTGTGTCACTTAGCCACAGAGACTGGCTGCTGATTTGGGACTTTTTATACAGCCTCCTCTCTTTAATACACAGTGTTGAAATTAAACATATTCGAGGACAAGATCAGCTCTCTGTGTGGAAAAGATTATTTTTCTATGACTCAGCAGGTGTGAAAAAAGTCCATGATTTGATCATTTTTCCACTGGTCTTTTCTCCTTCCACAATTAGCCTCATGCAGAAGAAGCAAGAAACAAACAATCTATTTCTGTCACTGCATGTTGTCATTGCCAGTGCAGTACTAGATAATGATAAAGAGATGACAAAGAGATAACAAAGAACACCACTATTAGTTTTGCTATTTTGTGACAATATTTGATAGAAAGAATGATCATTCAGTACAATCCGTGGGTTTTTAAATAAGTGCTTTGACAGCTCTAAGGCTGCAGCACATAAATAAATCTGTTAGTGTTTTACATGAAGGCAAACGTCAAAATGTGCTTGTCAATGGTTAAAGTGAGGTTTTCAGTGACGTGATGTAAAGATTTGATCAGAGTCCTGGTTTACTGTGTACACTGTCCAATGCACAAGGGACAAGACTTTGTTAGAGCAATAACCAACTAACTGTTTTAAACAAAGCAGATTGTTCAATAACAATCACAGCTCTAACTTCAGAATGTAACCACAGCCTCCTTAATCTCCCCTATAAACTCACAGACACTCACAGATTGGCAGACTTCAAAGGTCATCATTATTAGCCTCTTTCCAGCTGTCTAAATCCAACCTGTGCATACACACACAGGTGTGTGCAGATGGCTTTGCATTTATGTGTTTTTAACCAATGCAAATGAAGAAAAATGGTACATCTCAGCAGATTTAGTCGAAACAAGCTTGTTGTACATTAACATGCATCATGGCTCTGAACGCTTCTACCCTGCCAGGAGCCTGGGTCACACAACAACCAGACCGAAGTGTAACTTTTTACAGTGTTTCTATAAATCGGATGTCAATTCATTCACAGACTACTTCAAACTCACGTCTCAGTTTTTGTCCAAACAAACTTACAAGTGAGTTCACGTCATGTTTATCCCCGCGCAGGCTGGGGCAGATGGATCACGACGCAGCGCTGCTTGGTGACTAACCAGTGAATCACACACATCAGATGGGGCTTTTAGGGTTTTGAAATATGGTTTAGTTACAGTAGGCACTTCATCTAAAGGCCAATTAAATATTCTTTCATTAAAGCGAACAGCTGTGAAGACCAGCAAGTGTAACATGAATAGAAAATGTGAGGTTTAGCAGCTTTATAGTGCGCTGTGTTGTGTGGCGATGGTAAAAGGTAACTTAGCTAATGGAAATCTTCCAGACCTGAGTCGTCCACGTGGACCATGTCCATGGGGGTAGCCGTGGCTGTGGGACCGTCTGGGGACCAGCTTGTCCTCTTCATGCATGTGATGTAGTGAAGGTGAGCGAGAGTGGGATGATCTGGAGCTGCCAGTACTCTGGAGACTGCTGTCAGGGATCTCTCCATAACGACTCTAATAGAAAGAAGACGGGACGAAGATTATCATTTATTTTTTATTTTATTTTTATTTATTTTATTTTTTTGCATTTCTTCCAAACTCATTCATATTTCACTCATGCTAAAATTTCTACATCTTCCCAAAGCTTCTTACTTCTCCGAGGCTGCTGTGCAGTTGCCCGAAAGCTGGGAGACTGCGCAGCGAGGGAACAGGGGAGTGACCCTGGCGGCCGCGGGCTTCTCGCTGAGGCGGAGGATGGATGTGATCGTGGTCGCCGTTCAGGTTGTTGTCGCTCGCCGAGCGGAGCAGAGAGCGTGGTGAGGGCAGGGGGCCAGTTGTCATTCGTCGGCGGTTTGTATAAGAGGGAGTCTCCCTGAAAGGCACTGAGAAGAAAAGAGACAAAGTTAAAAATATACAAATAAATTATTGCTAAATGCACAACAAACAGAATGTTTTGAAGCTTTATTCTCTTGATAACTGAAATCTGACATCTGTTGTGTTTATATTTAACTGAAACAACTAGGATTGTCCACCCTGAGCCATTGTATACACTAAAAAATTATATTATTTGATCATTAATTGATTTCTTAAATTTAGCAGAATGCTTTTCTTGATAATTGAAAAATTACAAAAAACAAACAAAAAGAAAAAAAAGCAACATGAATGATCAGTTTTCATTATAACAATGCATTGAAATACAATAGAAAATGTTTTAAGGGTTCAGATTATTTTATCTATAAATAAATGACTGGCAGACTAAAATATGGGGGATAAAAACCATTCTGGTTTACTTTGAACAAACATTATTTTAGAGTGAGGTATTACAACCTGTCCACACCAGATGGCAGAGTTTTCCTTCATGTTTTTTTTTTTTTTTGCATAGAAGCAACTTAACTCATCAATGATTCACTATTACCTTCAGTCCCTCTCCATACTCCACACATTAACATCCCCTCTATGCATTTTCTCTGCGGTCCAATTAAACTGTAGTCAGTTGTCTTCCCTCATTTGCCTTTCAGGTTCTGCCTAAACTCATCAGAAGCTACAATAATATTGAAAGTTGTACAAACAAAGAGAGCCGCCTTCTTACGACCATTCCTGCCGACTTACCAACATCTGACACTTTGTGCACCTTAATGATTTCTGCTAGATCAAAGTTTCCAGCTATAATAGCCACCTAATGGATGAGAAAAGAGACGAGTAAATGAAAGGTAAAAAGAGAAATTTTAAGTGACGGTAACAAGACAACAGATCTTAAAAAGCATGTCATTATTTTCTCATGATTCCTGCTTTCATAAATGCTCAGCAGGTGCAGCTCTTTATTTCAGCTTGTGTTAAATGTATATGTATAGTAATGCCTAGGACACAAATTTAGTTTAACCTGTACACAATCTTTGATAATGATGAAAACACAGTGATATAAAATGCAGTTGTTATTGAGCACAACACCTACCTGAAAAGCAGTTTGGCTGTTGTAGTTCTTTATCTCTTTATTTGCTCCTCGGAAAAGAAGAACTCGTGCACAGCTATCCTGAATGACAGAGAGATGTATGTGTTTGGATGCTGCCACTATTATCGTCAGACAAAAAAAATGCCTAATATCAACTCTCTGTGTACTTAGCAGTTAAAGTAATGGCAGCATCACTTGGAGGTTAAAAGTATGTGTACAGAGTATTTAGTTAAAAGTAAATAAACAGTTCATACTACAACAGAAGTTCAAGAAACTACGAAACTATTTGAAATACAAAACACGTCATTTGATCATAGTTTTACAAAGTCAAAGAACAAGTGGATTATCATCAGATTTGCAGGGTTTCCAATGTGGCAGCTATCGCCTAGAGCAACTTTGCAAACACCATTTTTTTTTATCCCTTTAAAAAAATCAAGCTTACAAGATTGTTAAAAAAAAGACTGACAGAGGAGGTGATGTAAAAACAGAAAGAAATCTCTCCTGTCAAATCCAATACCCTGAATCTGAGAAAAACAATACAATTCTACTACAAATCACAAGTTCATCTCTATAACACTTTCTGCTGACTTTTTATATTAACTCAAAACTAAAACAAAACATTTGTGGAGGAACATCATGTCTTCTGAAATGGTGAATCCAAAATAAAAAGACGTAATTATATTTAAAACTACTCCTTGAGCACAAATGTCCCCACTGTGCTGTAAATGAAACACCTCATAGCTCAAACTGAATCTGAATAGCTTCTGACTAATAATTCTCCATTTTGCAAAAAAGCTTGAAAGTTTGCAGGTGAAAAAAAACAAAATTAAATATAGTCAAACATGCCTGTAATGTGACCTATTAGCTAAAAATACATCTAAAATCACTCAAATTACTAAATAAGCTGAAATATGCATGACACTATTTTCTCTGTCCTACATCAGTCATTTCTGAAAGCTGCTTCAGGGTAAACAAGTACAGCCTCCCTGTAGCAAATGAAAAAGCGCAGTTGTAGATTGACAGACAGAACTGTGTGTTAATACACTGGCTGATGAGGATCGATACATAATTTAACACAGAACAGAAGTGCTGGGACCAACCTTTTTCAACAGTTACTCTGGTGACTCTTGTCATTACTCTGTAACATGATTAGGAGCATAAAGAATATGTATGCACTGATTTATTGAACATTTGGTCCAGTTAGTAATATCCATGTGGTTTTTACTCATCAAGGAGAGCATATGTGACACACTGGGTGCATTAAAGTCCCCTCGTCTTGTAAAATAATAGGGTATCTGTGGTGTTAATGAGTTTAGTTTGATCTGAAGGTCTGGGGTCTCAACAAACAAAACTATATAAATATATTAATAGGTATAAACAATGGGACTCTTATTAATAGTGGTAATCATCAATGAGTTGTGCAGCTTCCTGAACATCCAAGTCTAAAACTGTAATTTAAAATGGCATAATATTCAACACTTTCAGTTAGTAAATCAGCAACTACAGGAGCTAACACTTCATAATCTTTTATGCTTTAATAAGGAAAATCTGGCAGCAGAAACACAATGTATTTCTAATTAATTTTGGGGGGGTAAAAGTCAGGAAATCGCATAAAACTCAGCAAATTGAAAAGACACTAGTGACATGTATAAAGTTAAAAAAAACAAAGACTCACTAAACTGAAGCATTGTACAGTAACTTGAATGAAATAATTGGCCCTTATCTTCTCAATGTGGGACCCACTTTTAAAGCACAACTTGAATGACAGCCAGGTATTTTATTTTAGCTGGTAGTAATGAGAAACTAGAGCTAAAGTAATGCAAACGAGGACTCTTCAACGACTTGACAATGAGCGGAGATCATGGCATTCATAAAATTGCCACACGTTTCTCTATACTGGCTAAGAGAAAAAAATGGTAATTGATGTCACACATGGCAAATCCAGCTATTTAAGTGACAGTTTAAAGAGTTCATAGGAGAAGAGCTGGGATCCGTGGTTGCAAAATTGGGGACGACGACGCACCAAAGATTGGAATATTTTAATTGTTTACATAAAGTGTTTGGGTAGAATAAGCAGATCAATGCATAGAAGGGAAATATTTGATCAATCAGATAATAAAGTTGGAATTGAGAACAGCTGGTGTGCTGAGATGTAGGTAAAACGTGACCACCTGTTTCAGCTGAACAACCATTCTGCTGGATAAGTGAGAGTTTGAGTATCATAACAACTGACTGGTTTAAATTCTACAATTTGGAGACTCCATGCATTTTTTTTAACAGTCAAAAAATATGAAAACAAATGCTTAGGCAAACTGCTGTTTGGGACGTTTTCTTATCTTCTCCTAACCTTCTTATAGAAATTCATGAACAAAGCCTTGATGAGAAAACAAAAAGGGGAAGCACAAATTCAGTCAGGTTACAAATGTGGCAGATGGCGTCTCTCATTTTTATGTTTTCACGTTTGAGGATTCCTCGTGTCATTAAAGTCGTGATTTGACATCTTTACTGAACATAAAGAATGTTAAGGGCAGAGCAGCTTAAAAATAGCTTTGAAATAATGAAAAAGAGAATTCCCTCACTTAAAGGGCTCTACAGTGATTGTCCCATTACTTCACTCATTTACCTGATGTGAAAAAAAATGTCTTGTGCCCTCATTGGCCTTTCTATCGGTTCTACCTTCTCAATCATTCATCCATCCATGTCTCAAAGATGTCTTTGTCAAGCCAAAGATAACTGCTGCCCTTATTCACTGCTGCTGATCACATCGAAGCTAAAAGCCCAGTAAGTTAATGCTAATGGCCACACAAATCCAAGCAAACACAACATGCATCGAGCCATCTTATTCTAATGATGATCACTGAAAGTAATCTTGTCATCCATCCACTCTCTTACACCTCCATTTATCTGTCCTTCTTCCTGACACTCTTTCTTCTCTGTACTTATAGATCTATTGATCTTGCCACTGGACAACAACTTTTTAGATCGATTCTACAAGTCCTTTTCTGACAGTCTCTGTAGATAACCATCCGAGGCAGGCCAGATTCAGGCCTGCTGGATCCCCGCTATGATGCTCAGGTTCTCAGATCGATCGGCTTAGCATGATGTTCGCTCTTCAATGGATGTGCACAGTCAACCTCATCAGTGGGGACAGGCATAAGCCAGGACTATCAAAGGTAGAAAATCAAACTATTCTTCCATTCTACCCCTGCTAACAGCAACCCAAGCAGAACTACAATGTAGGAAGGTTTATAGACACTTATTTTCACCTGAATCTGGATCTTCCTAAACCATAAACTACTTCAAAAATGTGCAGGTGAAAGACAGGTCTCAACAACGTGACTGTAAACATACTGTCTTTATAACATGAGTAATATAAGCGCAAATCCAGGCCTCCTCTCCACTGAGAAGGTAAACATGCAATGACCTGAGTCACGTGGATGTGTTACAAACAGTTAGTATTAATTATTGATGCTCTGCTTACCAAGCACACACACACACACGTGCTAACTCGTGCTCCCGAGACTGTGGTGTTCTAGTCGACATAAAGCAGTTCATTCATCACCACTGAAATTAACTGTGCAGTGCATCAAAAAAAATACCACCACCACACACACACACATATACACACACATACATATGCACGAATGTTTCTTTTCTTTTTTCTTTCTAGTTTTTTTTGCTAGGAGGAGAGGAGCTCATTTAATGTTCATGAACTGAGCACCACCATTTCCCAATGAAGCAGCAGAAACGCATCTTCTAGAGTGCCAAGTTACATCTTTCACTTTGAGCAGCTTCAAACCAAGTGGTAAGCAGGCAAACGCTTCATGTTTTTCACAGGAGCGTTTAAATTTTCAGTGACCTCGTCCTCCAGTGTTTTTCTTAAACTACGTCAATAAAAATCACGCTAGTTCAAAATTTAAATCTTTTTTACATCTATTGTCTTTATATTTTAAGTAGGACAGCAGTACAGCAGCTAGGGCTGGAGGAGGTCATAGGATCGCCTTCAGGCCTTTCTGGGTGGAGTGTTCTCTCCATGCACATGTGGGTTTTTTCTGGGTGCTTTGGTTTCTTTCCACTGCTCAAAAAACAAATGTTAATTTGTAAGTCTTAACAGACCCTAGATGTGAGTGACAGTGTGAATGACTGCTTGTTTTGCATCTAACAACAGCAACAGCTGGAGATAGGTACCAGCTTACCATGAAAGGAAAGGGTGAGTAAAAATAAATGGATGATGTATAGTTTAGATGATATATCTTAAATGCATTTGTAAATTTACATATACATATAAAATAAACAGTACCTGGTTGTAGAGAGCACACACATGCAGGGCGGTGTTTCCTGATGCATTCTGGGCACTCATGTTAGCTCCATAAAACAGCAGGTGTTCCAGATGCTGCACGTGGCCATAACGACACGCCTAAAAGGACACACGGGCACATTAATTCTTCCTGTACAACTGTAAGCTTAAGTATGAAAATGTTTATGAAAAATATTGTTACTGAATATGACATGTTTTACAGTGTCAATGCAGAATGAGCAACTTGGCCAAATCACAACATTCAATCAAAGGTTTTCTAAACAATGGAGAGTTGGGCTGCAGCCAGACTCTCTCCCACATGATAACAGCAGAAGAAACATTTTCCTCGCTGTTATTAAATAAGATATATCAAACATTTAAATCTTTTTCACATTTAAATCATTCAGCTGGAGTCTATATATAAGGTGGAACTCTAATGCTTTGGTATGAATTCCTTCTTATTGTAACTCCACAAGCCCCTCTTTGTGTGTGTGCGTCTCAGATCAACTCATTTTAAAGCTGTTTCTTTAAATGCAATACGCTTCACAACCTGCCCCCTACAGCTTCCAAAGCAGTCCATTCCAGTTTGATAAAAGGGCTTTATAGTGGAGCAAAAACGTTTTATTTACAAATTAATTAAAAGATGTCCATCCAGCTTTACATGTTGGAACTAGAGTACGGGTTAAAAAATAAAACACAAAAAGTATATAAAGATATCTACGAAGCACCTCTGCATTTCTAGAGACAACAAAATGCATTTAATGGCTAAAAAAGTGAATTTTGCAGTTTGTCCTCTTTAAGATGTTACTGGGACCTGTTTTTGTATCATGCATTACAGAAGAAGCATGGTTCAAACGTCCCTAAATTCAAAAATTTACGTGAAAACATGTTTCAGCGGATATTATATTTCAAATACTACATAATTAAAACCTCAAAACTATTGAACAAAGTGAATATGTAGCTCAGGTTTTCATATATTTTTCAACCAAACTCACCTTTGATCTGTTGTGACTTTCAGCCTAAAAAGGTACAATGTGTTGTTGACCAATCTGAAAATAACTTTTCTTTTTGGCTGCAACCAATTGAGGCTTGTCCCTGTCCATGTCCTTAAAGTGTTGAAAAGGAAAGTCTTGTTTGCCTCACCTGAGGCTAAATGTAAATGTGTGAAGTTATTCTGGTAGGAGTAAGCCCTTTTTGTGCTCCGTTTCACATAACTGGAAGCAATACATTATTTTCATCCTTTCTCTGTTTCGTTTCTTTCCCTCTTTATTCCCTATGTACTTTCTGGTTCTGTCCTTTGTCATTCACAAAGAAGAAAGCAGCTCTCCTAAGCAATTGCTCTCTCCCTCCTGTGTTCTGTCTTGCTAAGAGTGCATGAAAGAAGTAAAAACAGCACACAAGTGATACCGGAATTGTTTCTGGTTATCAGCTTTCTGCAGTGTATTCTATTGTTTATAACACAAGATTGTTAATGCTGAAAGACACACATACACACACTTGGAAAAAAATGAATAGTTGAAAGGAATACAAATGATTAAAATGTCTTAGACTGACAAATTGCTTGTTTGCTACACTGTATGGAATTTATTTGAGCTAATCTGACATTGAAAGATCATTCCAGACTTTTAAAGAGCTCACACAAAGTGTAAAAGCCAACCTTTTAATGTCCTGATTGTCCTGTTTCAATAAAAAAAATTTGCTTTTCATGAACATCAACAGCAGTACTCTAATTTACTTTCAGGTACTTTTGTTTTCCGTTTCTATAGTTTGTTTCACACCTGAGAAACACCCAAGTTGAGCAGCAGGCAGCTATTTAGAGTTGTTCTCACTTGCTTTGGTTTATTTCTCAAATCCGAATTTAAATGTTCAAAAATACTATCCCCTTAAAAAAAACAACAATAAGTAATGTTACACTGTTGGGTGAAACAGACAAAAATGTGAGTTTGTCAAATAATGTTTATCATTTACTAAAATGTGGAAGTCAGTCAATGTTTCCAACTTAAAAAAGAGTTGTGTGTTACGTCTTTGACTGATTCGTTTTTTAATAATTTTATTTTTTATGATTAACTAATTATGAGATTATTAATTCAATAATACATAAAGTATGTTAATATATGGGTTTACAGTATGTGGTTAAATATACTGTACTTATTTGCAAAAATGCACTTACATTATTCAGACATGCAATAAGATTGCTTAAGTTTATACTTCTCACTATTACCTTGTGTACACTGGATTTTGTTTAATAATTAAGTATTGTTTAGTTTGTTTTATGTATTATTTATTGAACTGTAGCATATGAATTTATAGCTTTTCTTATTATCATATATCTTAAAGGTTCAAAGCAAACATATATTCTATCATAGTTTTTTTTTTTGTACCTTTAGGTCAGCTACCACTGAGCTGACATTATAATGAAATTGTGTTTTGTTGCTTTGTTTTCAGTTTAATTACATTTTTGATGTTTATTCCAGATTATACACAAAACAGGAGGAAGGTCTGCATTCAAATGCACTATTTTTGAACTTTATCAATTATCGTAACCCATTTAGTTCGGGTTAAAAACTCAAAGTGCTGGTAAATGGCTTGAATTCAGTTACTGTGACAGTAGAAGGATTAAACTCTGTAACGCCTATTTTCTTCTTAGCTCTACTAAGAGGCCACACATATTTTTGTGAAAATGTAAAGCAGCAGTCTAACACTAATATATGAGAAGGCAATGTCTGATTCTTATTATGTCCTTGCAGTTTTATTTTATTTATTTTGCTTGATACACAAATAGGGTAATAATTTCTTGATGAAGAAGTGAATCCTGCACCACCTTGTTAAAAGAACTACGGCATGAGGAGGCCAGCACTGCCGCATTTCGGCACAAGGATGAGCACTGATCTGGAGGATTTTACTGCCATCACCTTGCTGCAGCCTGGCAGTTAATTATGGTCATGGTGTATCTTTTAGTCAAATGCTTGCTCAGCGGTTTTTGAAAATTCTTAGACATAAATTTCTTGAACACAAGCATTTCGTAAACACAGAGGGGATAGTCCTTACAACAAATCGAAAAACCTGCACAATTTTTGTAAGGAATGTGAAGCTAATGAGCCCAAGGAAGCTGCAAGTTGGCACCATGTGGAGGCAGTTATACATGAGAATCACTTTCCATCAAGGTCAACTACATTAATGTTTGAAGTAGACCTGCGCCAACTGCTTGTCGGCTGATAAGAGTTGGCTGAATTTCAACCCGAATGGCTTGACAAGTAGCCAGCACTGAAAACTTTCTTCATTTTATTATAGGCAAGTAAATGCAGTTCAGACTCATAAACCTTCATGCTAGATATGCAGGACATCTGTGTGTTATGTAGTTTACATGGGAGGCAAAAATACCCAAATATATGTCTGATGGTGCCATACTCATTATTATTTCACCATTAAAATCCACTGAGGTTGGCTTATGGTTTTTACAATCAAGACAAACAACAAAACAAAAAATTATAATACGAAACAAAAAATTCATACAGGCTACAGACCTTTGTTAATGCCATTTGCTACTTTAAGTAAAAGCAAACAGTCAGCTAAGTGTTTAGGTCCAGCAGTTTATGAAAACATCAGTTTAATTGTTAAATTATCATACATATCAAGTTGTTTTTTCTCTAGATATGATTATATTCACTTAAAACAATATGATGACGTGTGTCTATCGATTAAAATTCTACTTAAATTACCTTAGAATTCCATGTTTTGCACATTTCACAGAATAAAATGCACTTCCGACACTCTTTTGTCAATAACGCTTGACTAGTTGTGTACCTAGTTGACAAAACGTTTGCCTTTATAACAAAAGGTACATTACAATATTTTTCTTAAAAAGCTTTTTTTTTGAAGAATGCTCAAGTACTTTATTTTCAACTAAAGATTTATCAACAAAAAAGTAACTACAATTAAAAAAAGAATAAGATAGAAAAAATAATTTGGTTTTTAAAGGTAGGAAATTTTATCTAAAATTAAATTTTAGGTTATTTGTGTAGAAATACTTGATTCTAGTAACCTAACTTTAGATTTAATGCCTTTTTTGAGGAAGGAAACTGGAGTTGCAATTCCATTTTTGTACAAGTAATTAAAAACAACAATCTTATGATTTGTCCTGATGCATCTCAGTAATCCAGGTAAAAAATCAAAAGGAAAAAAAGTTGTATAGGTCTTCTGGACGGGTTCTTCTTTAATGAAACGTTTCGTCTCTCTTCCAAGAGACTTCTTCAGTCTGAGAGTTTCAGACAAAATTCAGGCTTTTAAGCCCTGCCTCCATGTGACTGATACTCACATCACATGGCTATCGTTCACACCTAATTAATACCTATTGTTAACAGGGGGTGGAGTGATACTGCCAATGGCAGCGCTGTAGGAGGGGGACAACCGAAAACGGAGGCCTCCACCTCTGTTTAATGATGGACAGTCTTTCTTCACAAAAATGGCTTCTTTTACTCCTCTCTCAAACCAACGTTCCTCTCTATCAAGAATAAGAACATCCTCATCCCTGAAAGAGTGACCGCTGGCCTGTAAATGAGTGAAAACTGCAGAGTTCTGGCCATTAGATGTAGCTCGTCTGTGTTGGGACATTCTTTTGAACAGTGGCTGCTTTGTTTCCCCGATGTATAACTGGTCGCAGTCCTCCTGGCACTTAACAGCATATACAACATTGCTCTGTTTGTGCCGGGGCACCGGATCTTTGGGGTGAACCAGCCTTTGCCGTAATGTGTTTTGGGGTTTGAAAGCCACTGGGACATCATGTTTAGAAAATAAACATCTCATTTTCTCCGAAACACCCGCAACATACGGAATAACCACTGGTTTGGGTCTGGGTTTGGGGTCTTCATTTTCACCTGAAGGTTGCATGGAATCCTGTCTGTGTTTCCTGTCTGCTTTCAGGAAAGCCCAGTCAGGATAACCACACTGCTCCAGGGCCTGTCGTGTGTGTGATTTCTCTTTCTCCCTGGCTCCTGGGTTTGTAGGGACACTGTCTGCTCTGTGGTACAGAGTCCTGATCACTCCTAACTTGTGTTCCAGTGGGTGGTGGGAGTCAAAACGCAAATATTGGTCTGTGTGGGTCCACAGAGTTGATGTGATCAGTGAAATGTTGGACTTCCTGGACTTTATTTCAGCCCAGGTGTCGTCAACATATCTGAACCAATGGCTCCGTGGCACCCCTGAAAAGGACATCAAGGCTCTCTTTTCCACTTCCTCCATGTACAGGTTTGCAACAATAGGAGAAACTGGGGATCCCATGGCACACCCATGTTTCTGCCTATAATATTGCCCCCCGTATGTGAAGTAGGTTGATTCCAGGCACAGTTTGAGGAGTTGGCACACTTGTTCTGTGGAAAGTGTGGTTCTGCTGCTGAGAGTGGTGTCTGAGTGAGTATCAGTCACCTGGAGGCAGGACTCAAAAAGCCTGAATTTTGCCTGAAACTCTCAGACTGAAGAAGTCTCTTGGAAGAGAGACGAATCGTTTCATTAAAGAAGAACCCGTCCAGAGGACCTATACAATTTTTTTTCCTTTTAATCTTATGTTTTGTTGTATTTTTTAAGTGAAAACGTCATATAAGGAAAAGGTTGGACAATGCAACAAATTAATGAAGTAAACATTCTTTACTGATTCTTTCACAGTGGTTGTGTAACCACTGTGAACACATCCACACCTTTACACTTTTTGAGGGAAGGTGTTATGTTGATGGATAAATCCAATGGCTCAGATTCTGCACAAAGCTTTTGGTTAGTAAAAAATGTTTTGCCCAAAACAAAATATAGCAGACATTCAAGCAGTAAAACGGTACAGCCAGATGTGGCTTTTATTCTTGTTGTTTCATTTAAATTTAGCAAGGTCAGTGTTCACGAGTTGCTTTCAAATGTAAATGTGCATTTGTTCTGTAAGAACTCTCAACATATAGTTTGCAGACTGAAATAACAATACTAACAAAGAGCAGAAAATTCACAAAACCAAACTTGACTTTTAATCTCATGCCTGCATTTCTATGCTGCACAGTCCATTAAAGCTGTTATCTCTCTGTGTGTGTATGTGTGTGTGTGTGTGTGTGTCACTGTGTGTTACCTGGTGTATCTCCTGCCAGCCATTCTCATCCTCACAGCCGACCTGTGCGTGATCATGTAGCAGCAGTTCACAGCAGTAGGGGTCTCCTCCTACCATTGAGCTGTGGTAAAGAGGAGTCAGCCCTCTACTATCCTTATAATCAGGCGATGCACCCAAGTCTAGCAGCGTCTAGGGGCAAAATGATACATATATGAAAACTTGAATTATCAACTGAAAACAAACAAAAAACAAAGTGATGGTAAAAATAAAGTCAGTTATAACCCCCACATTTGGGGTTGTGAGCAACTGTATGTTTTTGTGTCTTTTTTGCAGAAAAATCTGCCTCAGTAGGATTTTTTAAACCATCAGTATATTTTTTTCTCTATACGTTACATGACTCAGTGACACTGAAACTGAGAAGTAATAAAATCCAAGTTTAATAGTTCCAGCACAATGAAGTAACAATGTGACTCATATCAAAGCTCTCAACACATGCAAGGCCATTCAATGGGTATGCCAGCCCATTTAGAGCATCACAATATTGAGTAGCTGCTCAAGCACCATCCGTACTTCATTGCTCAAGCTCCCGAGCTAAGAGTTTACCAAACTCTGCCTTCACGATTACCTCCTTTTTTCCAAAGAAAAAGATTAAAGGTCTAGCCAGGCAAATGAACACACGAGTCAGCTTATGTCCGTTTCTTTGGTTTTAATACTCACTATAAGTGCTGTGTGGTTCTTGCTGCGCACAGCCTTGTGCAGGGCTGTAATGCCATCTTTTGTTCTGAAGTCCAGATGTGCCCCTCCATTTTTCAGCACTTTGATGAGCTCTGCACAACCCTCCAACTGTGCAGCCAGCGTAAGTGGACATTCTGTAAAATTAAAGGCTGACTTAGCGAACTGTAACAAAAATGATCTTTTCGACACTTTTGCTGTGTGTTCATCTTTAAAAAATTAACTTTGAAAATTTGCAGCTGTCAACATTTGGTGACAAAAAAAAACTTTCAGGGTTAAAATGTGGGTTTATATTTTCAGTAGCTGTGTTCCCATCCAATTTTAATTCGAATTTTGAGCAAATAGGAAAAAAAATTTAAAAAAATAAAAAACGAAGAAATACGAATCAGAAGTGTTTCCATCAACTGGCTTGAAGCGAATCAATTACGTCAGACGCATGCATGTAGTAAACAGGAAGTAAAAGTTGCATCTCAGGAAAATGGAGAGAAGTTTTCAGGAACGTGTTGTTACTATCTGGAAAGTTGTAATTATTCTGTCATTTCAACTAGTTTTGGCGATGTTACTGCTGTCTGGATATGTAGAGAAATGCAATTCTCTTCATGTTACGGGAATAACTGAGAAGTTGCCAACAGCGGGAGGAGGGTCCAGCTGCAGTCGCTCTGGTACCGGCACCGTTCAGACAGCGAGAACAGCTGATCAACCACGTGAGGTAAATATTCGCTACGTCAGAACTTTTTCGACAAAAGTGTTTCCATCTCTCCTTTTGCACATTGTCTTTTTCAAAAAAAAAAAAAAAAAAAAAAAACCCTCAAGGATCTCCTCATAAACCCCATGCTGTTTTAAAAGATAATTTGTCATTTCAACCCTGTGTGTACACAAAAAAAAAAAAAAAACGAAAAACCCCCTCAAGCGAGCGTATCAACTTTTATGCGAATTAGAGGAAGTTTTTTCGAACCATGCCGTTTCCATTCACCTTTTCTGGTGCGATACTTCAAAATGTGCATTAAAAAACGTTGACGGAAACACGGCTAGTGACTCTGCATTTGGAGAACAGCCCCGGCTGCAGTGACTGCCACTCTCCATTCTGCCTGAGTGGCTACTTCCTGTTGGTGTTACACCAACCTATTCTCTTGTTCCTGTCGCTTCACAGCTCATCTGCTAAACTACAGGTCACCCAGCAGGGGACCCTCCTTTGTGGCTGGACAAACATTTGAATATACATAATGAGATTAGCAAGGAGAATAATCCAGCTTTACTGGGCAAGCAGAAGGCTTATTTCAGAAAATCCATACATGGTCATTTGTGGAGAAGAAAGATAGAAAGAGGCACAAAGTACAATAGAAAAGATAAATTAAGGTTGGAAAAGGACAATCTGCTGACTAAAGTAGGGTATTATTGTAACAGTCAATAAAAAAAGGCTTGCTCACCTCCCGTGTCTGGATCATGGAAGTTAGGGTCCAGGCCTTTTTCCAGGAACCTTGAGACCTTTTCGTTGCTCCTTTGTTGCACATACTCCATAAACTTCTTCAGGTTTGCCTAATGGAGGGAGACAAGGGAGTGGGGAGAAGGGGAAAAGGGGAAAGAGGGGGAATAGATAACTGCAGTTGGGTGATGTCAGACTCATGTGGATGGAGATGGTTAATAATGCAGTTCAGAGATGAAAGCTACAGTCGTTGCTCTTTGTTTCTATGTTTGAGGTTTTATTTCTGTTCCGTCATGCCAACCAAATGGACCAGAAGATATTGAAGCTACTATAGAAAAGACCAAAGGAAAAAGGCTGGACAGCAACAGTATGTTTTTCACAATTTTAAGAGCTGAACTGTATTTTTGGTTTTAATGAAAACAGTCATAATCTTGTACAATGTCTAAAAATTAACTTACATCACCAGGCAGAATAAAAAAAGCAAAACCACAGAAAAATAGCTTTATTATACAATCACAAGAACAGACCTGCGTGTGAATCTTACCCTCTGAACACATACTTTAGTTGTAATTCATGTTCCTGTAACCTTTTTGATGTGAGTAAAATGTACTTTAACTGTACAAAAGCTGGTGTAAGTTTGTAAATTAAAAATATAAAATGACACCGTGAGGCATGTATAAGCAGTACCCTGACAGGTTCATATATTTAAAATCAGGGTATCCACATCTTGGAGCTTTAAAATGACAATAATAAATACCAGAACATTTTAGTTATAGTACACACAAGAAATTCTGAAAGGATCTTATAACGAGCTATTACATTAAAATATAAAATGCTAAATTAAAGTATTGTATGTGAGCTTAACTGTGAAAAGATATCTTGTGGATGTAATTGCACAGCATTTGCAGTATTCCACAAACAACTTTCAATGCCTTTTTATCCTTTCAAGGCTCTCCAGCCTCAGTTCTTACATAAACATCCACATGTGCAAAGCCCTCCAGATGCACAGCCACAAATTACATTTTGCACAACTTAATGCAATGTAATGTAACAACACGTAAAAATTATCTCGCAAACATGCACCTGCGGAAATGAGAGCAGAATGCAGTAGCCTTCTGGACACTCACCATGTGTGGCATCACAAACTGCCCGGTCCTGATTCTAAAACGTCACACTCTCCAACACCTTCCGAAATTCACATGACAACCCGTCTTTGTACCAAGTCGTCCGTAGTCCGCCTGCCTGTACAAGCCTGGTCCTGGTGCACGCTGACACACTGTGAGGATCTGCCGAGCGCTACACTCACCATCACTGAATCAAACTGAGTGAGAGAAATTCACTTTGGTGTTATCCTTTTTTTCTGTCTCCATTGTGCTTTGAGGCAGTTGTTATGGTGATGGGATACAAAGACAGCTCGAGCAGCCAATGTACACATGAGTGGGAAGAGCACTGAGGTTGTGTTTGTGAGTGTGTGTGTGTGAATGAGAGCACTTGTCTGTCCTGTGTAATAGCTCGGATAATGCCTTAAAGGTTTTTCAAGATAATTTACCAATAATCAGGTGGATCTGATGTGTTTTATTGCCTGTTGAACAGAAGGCTGATAAAAAGCTTCTACTTTATCTTCTTCACTGAGGACTCCACTAAATATTTTCTGCCTGTGGCAATCTTTCACTCTTCGTAACACGCACTGACAAATGCACTCTTGTGATAAAAAAAACAAAAAGCTTTTTCTTTCTTTTCAGAAACATTCAAACAAGCTGGTAATTCTCCATAATTCTGAAATTAAAAGAATGACAGTCTCTAATAAGTAGATGTAGCTGTGAAAAACTCAGTTACAAAATACATTCAGTGTTATAAGTTGTACATTTTTTTTCTAAGGAATGGATAAGATTTTTTTAAAGTAATGGAAATCCAGCAGAAAATATTTTATTTGCATTGATTCAAAATATTTAGGGAACATTTAGACTTTAAAATAACACTTAAAAACAGAAATGATTATGCTCTACTTTCTATTCATTCATGGTCCTAATGGGAACAATAATCCGTCAGTTCTGTTATGAATTAGTTGTAATTTTTCAGCTAAATTAGTTCAGTTCACTTCATTCCAGCTCAACATAAAAAACACAATCATAAGGGGTGGCCAGGGTGGCACCTGGTTCCCCCGCCCCCTCTCCAAGGACCACCCACAAATGATTAACAAATTGGGTGGGAATCACATGAGGCATTTTAAAGTTGGGCAGTTAATGAGAATCTTTCTTGCTAGTTGGAGTAGCTTTCAGAATGTCATGGGGATTGATTTTGGCTACAACCACACCAAATTTTAGCTCAGTGTTCCTAAAAATGGCTGCTTTGGATTTCATATTTCAAATTAGATTTTTTTAAATGGTGTCTCACCTACTAAGCTATTTTAACAGCTAAATTGTAGACCTTTTCGAAATTAGTATTAGCATTAGCAGCTAGTTGATTTTTTAATTTCTTTTTTTATTGTTTTTAGCTACAACTACACAAAAAGGTTCAACTCAATATGTCTTAAAACAGCTGAATTAGAGGCATTTGAAGACAGATGTGGAGGCCATTTTGAATTTTAAAATCTAGAACAGTTTTACTTATTCATATGTGTCCCCATAAAAACACCTTGGCTACCTGTGCCACCCGTGCATAAATGTCTAGCTCCGCCCCTGATCAAAATCCAATTCAATATGAATTCGATTCAGACATTCAGTCTATTAATCATTATTTTATGCCAATACACGAAAAAGTTGGTCCAAGTCAAAAACCCACTTGGATCAAGTTCCTTTTGTCTTTTGGGCTCTGTAGGTTTGTTGCCAACTGAAAGTTGGTTTGACTTCCAAACCTTTTGACAAACTATTTGCTAGCCAATAAGCTGCAAAGTCACCACAAAGCCACATTACACTGCAGGAAAACATAATTTGTTTGTATTTACATTCATGGAAGCTTATCCATACACACACAAAAGGCCCTGGCAAAGATTTGCTAGTGGGATAAAATACACCTCCACAACAGTTTCCTGGTCTGTTCACATTTCATTCATCCTTTTGCCAATTTTCATTCAGAAACAATTGCAGTTTTTCACACTTTTGAGTCAGTAATCTTTGTATCATCTCCAAGGGTTTTCGTTTAAGAGCAATATGTTGTTTTCAGTACAATAGGATAAAAAATTATACAAAATGAACAAATATGAACAATGGCCACATTTTAGCATAATGTGGACCATAGCCAACCTACACATGCAAACACAAACATATACAGAGAAATGGATGGGTAGATAGATAAATGGATAGATTTATAGATGGGTAGATAGATAAATGGGTATATAGATAAATGGGTAGACTTATAGATGGGTAGATTTATAGATGGGTAGATAGATACAGTAAATGGGTAGATAGATAGATGGGTCGATTTATAGATGGGTAGATAGATAAATGGGTAGATAGATAAATGGGTAGATTTATAGATGGGTAGATAGGAAGGTAGGTAGGTAGGTAGGTAGGTAGGTAGGTAGGTAGGTAGGTAGGTAGGTAGGTAGGTAGGT